GTTCAGGCCGGACAGTGTCCCAGGGCCTGGAGCTGTGGGGCCCCGGAGCTGAGGGCCTGGGCAGGAGGAGGAGCCACGGGCAGAGGAGCTGGGGGGCGGGGTGAGGATTGGGGGGTAAGGTGGGGGGACCATCAGCACAGAAAGTAACTGCCCGATGTTCTCCAAGTCTGCCTTCTGCCTAGAAGCTCACAGGCTCCTGAGCTGCTCCTTGTTTAAACAGTTAGCAGGGGTGGAAAAGGTGCTGAGCACACACTGGCATCACACAGACACTCTGGATTGAGGTGTTCGTAATTTAAAATTCACTCTTTGATTCAGACAAGGTAACGCCGTGGATTAACACACGGACCCCGTGTGGCTAACACCTCCCGCCCAGCGCTGCCTGCTGGGCTAACTTACCCGCTCGCCAGGCATCGGAGGGGCTGCTGCTGGGGTGGTGGGCAGGGCGTCAATGCAAAGGTGGGTGGCGTGGGGGTGGGCTCCGAAGCCCTAGAGCCCTCAGGCATTGGCAGGTGGCAATGTGGTCGGAGTGGGGCCCACCGCGTCGCTGCCCCTCCCTGGATTATGGATGCTCCGTGGATCCTACACCCTCGTTATTTTGCTCCACGTGCTTTTCACGGGCACCTCGAACCCCCCACACCTGCAACTTCTTTCTAGGGGACAGTCCCAGCAGGTACTCGGCGAGTGCCCGTGTCTTGCCCGGACTCCTGTCCGTCTGAGCGCCAGCCGCCTCCTGGTCCTCCTGCAGCCGACGGGCACGCCCAGCGGCTCTCACCCTCAGCATCATCTCCTTCCCAGCTGCCCCGCTGGCAACACGGCCCACCCTGGACGCCTCCGCTTCCGGGCCCCACATTCACGGTCAGCAGCCCAGCTCTCAGGAGGGAGTTAGCAGGTTCCCCACTTGTCCTCACTCCGTCCTTGCCATGACCCAGGCCACCACCTCTTGCAGGGGCTGCAGCGGAAGGCCTCCCTCCCCTCCCCCCCCCCCCCCCCCCCCCCCCCCGCCTTCGGCCAGCGCACAGCTCTGCAGCCAGGCCAGCCCATCCCCCGCCTGGCTTCCAGGTCCTCCCTGCTGCCTCCTTCCCTTCCACGCCTGGCGGCCTGGTGGGCGCAGGAGCCCTGAGGACAGAAGGACCAACCCCCCCGCTGGCCATCCTCCTCAGGGATCCTGGGCTGGGTGTCTCTGGGGTGCTGAGAGCAGGCAGGTGAGAGCCGTGGCTGGGACCACTTCGCCCCCACCCGACGGGCCCCTGTGGCCAGGCTTGGAGGACGGTGATTTCCAAGAGGCCATTCCATCCTGCAAGCCTAGCTCTCTGCCCCCGATGGCTCCTGGACTCAGAGGGGCCTGGGTTTGAATCCAGCCTGTGCCGCTGTCCTGCTGTGTGGACCAGCGGCTTACTCCCTCCGAACCGAAGCGTGTTCAGCTTAGAAGGGGTGCTATCTCGCGCCTTGCCAGGTTGCTGGGAGGTCGGAGGGGAAAACACCTGTGAAAATGAGTGTCTCAGGTCTGATTCCCCGGAACCGGACCCCACGACGAGGGTTTCAGGCGGGACTTTCATGAGGAAAATGCCCCGGGAGGGTGGAAGGCGACGGGGACGCGGGACCCGGAAGGGAGGGGGGCGAGTGAGGGGATGATGTCAGCAGGGCCTGGGAGGCAGCTCTAGCCTCGCTCCCTGGCGGTGTGTGTGTGTGTGTGTGTGTGTGTGTGTGTGTGTGTGTCTGGAGGGGGTGGGGGGGAGGTGCGCTGAGTGTGGGTCACATCCCAGGATTGTCACGGCCAGAGGCCAGGCAGGGCCGCGGTCGGGCGGCTTCCGGTGGGCGGCAGCATGGAGGGAATGTGTTTGCAGAGACTTTCTGAATGAAGATGGACACAGACTCCAGTTGCCCAGGGACCATCCTCCAGGAGAGAAACGCGAAAGAGGGGCGGGCGGGCGGGCGGGGGGCGCACATCGCCAGGGTGACTTGGGGTTCGGTGACACCTCATCACAGTGGCTCTTTTGTGACTCCCGTTGCTGTCAGCCCAGTAACAGCAGTGGTTCTTACCGTCCTGCGTGTTCTTGGTCTGCGTGGACGGAAGCTCTCAGGCAGCTGCTCTGAGCCCAGTAGGCTGAGAAGGAAATAAATCTGGGGGGAATAAGAAGCATAACCCCAGCCAGACACTTCCCCAGCTCTCCGCCCCCCACCTTCCCATCTCCCATCCGGAGGGAAAGAGCAGAGCAGGGTCCTGCTATGGCGTGGGGGCGGGGAGGAGGCCTGGCCCAGGGCAACTCCTGGGGCATGGGGCGGTGCAGGGGAGGGGGCCGAGTCAGGGAGCTGCCATGGGGAGGGACAGCCTCCGCCCGCCGAGGGACAGCAGCCACCGCTGGAGGTGAAGGCCGCTGGGAGGGAGACAGCCCCGCTTGCCACCCTATATCTGCCTCCCTCTCTGCCGCCTGGCGGGCCTCGGGCCAGTGATGGGCCTGGGAGGCTGCAAGTGCGCTTGCCAGGGGGAGTTTTAACCACATCCAGGCTGCCAAGTGCACATTATTCTCCCACAGAAACCCAGGGATGCCCAGGAGACTCGGTATTTTTATAGCAACTGAAAAAGAGGGGAAGAAGAGAAAGTTCTTCAAAGCTCCCTGAGTCCCGCTGTGCTGGGGCGGGAGTTGGTGTGTGAGGGCCTGCCTCCTTCCTCAGGGAGGATCCAGGGACGCTGCGATTGCTGTTTGCTGGCTCCCCACAGGCTGGCTGTCCCTCGGATAGTCCAGGTGCGGGAGCAGCTAGTGCAAAGGCACAGAGACAGGAAGGAATACATTAAAAGTGTCCGAGAACAGAAACGCTGAAGCTCAGGACTCTTCGGTGTAAGCGATGGAATTCTCAGATTGAAAGAACCAATGACTGATGGCTTCAGGCATGGCTGGATCCAGGGGCTCAAACAATGTTCTCGGACACCATCTCCCTTCATCTCTTGGCTCTGCCTTCTTTGACGTCTGCCCATTGGTGGCTGGTCAAGTCTATCCTTACATCTGCCCAGCCTCAGAACCAGTGGAAGAAAAGCATTTTCTCGCCCAGGGGTTCCAGTGGGAGTTTTGTTGAACTGATTTGAGTCATGTGTCCATCTCTGGCCAGGCAGCCTGGTCTGTAATCCTTTCTCTGAAAAATGCATTTTGCTCAAACCATGTGATTAGTGAGGTTTAGCAGTCAAGTCACATGGACGTGTTCCATCTTCTACTTTCTACCCCTTTTTCTCAGAATCTTATGTGCTCCCACAGTTTTATTTCTCCATCTTGACCTTGTCTGTAGCCTTGACCTCATCCAAGAGCTTCAGTTCCCACTGTGCTCCACCCACACAACTGCCGTAGCATGCATGCACGCAGTCAGCTCTACACTGCTGTGCAATGGAACCCCCACAGCACAGCAATGCCATGGATAGGTGCTGTTATTATCCTCAAGTTATAGGTGAAGAAACTGAGAGAATCATTCCTGAACCAATGACCAGGGGTCAGATATGACTCATGTATGGGTCAGACATGGAGCCCAGAGGCTGGTCAGCTGCCACTGAACTGCATAGGCAGAGAGAGGAAGGGACTCTCCAATGAAAAATCAGGGAGGAAGAAGGTGGAAGGTGGGGTGGGCGGAACAGAAGATGCCCCCTAAACTAAGAGGCAGATAATGGGAACTCAATTGGACCAATTTAGGGGAAGAGAGCTGTGCCACCTCAGGGACTGAAAAGTAGATCTGAACAGCCAAGCCACCCGAAGGACAGGCATGTGTCTGCCTTCAGGACCGGCTGGAACCGGGCACTCACACTGTCAGAGCCTTTCCTCCTGTCTTTTTCAGTGTTTCCAGACTCAGATTCCTAGAGAAGGGCTTTGATGGCCCAACTCTTGGTCATGTGATCACATTGGACCAATCAGCTGGTCCCAGAAAGGCGGGACTACCGTAGACCATGGCAGCTCCCAGGGAGAACAGTGAGGTTGATGCTGTGGGAGCGGTGGTTTGGAGAGAAGAGTGGAGGAGAGCACAGGGCAGATGACAATGTAGGTGCCCCTTGAGGCAGGCACGATGTGTGAGCGAGCTGGGATGCTCATGGCTGCAGGTAGGGGAATGTCACATTGACCGGCTGAACCACGGGGAAGCCCCCAGGACTGGTGGCTGCTGGTCCAGGGAGGTCTCCTTTCTGCCGCTCTGCTCAGTGACTCAGTGTCAGCTTCATCCCACCTGCCTGCTCAAGGACAACTCCCACGGCCGTCATCCAACAGGTGGGCAGAGTACAAGAGGCTCTGGCATTGCCACAGAAGTCCCCCTCTCCCCTCGGAAGGGGCCCCTGCTGGTGGTCTTAATCCAGCACCTAGAAAGGTTCAGGAATCTGGAGAAGGCGCTGTGTGTCAATTAATCAAGAGTCCAGAGACAAAACATAATTTTGGAAGGCATTTTGGGGAGCCAGAGAAGGCTTTGCTAAAGGAACTAAGTTCTCCCTGTCATTTTATTAACACAATTTTGTCCTGAAGCGGGGTAGATACACACACCAAAGGCCAGGGTTTAGTATACAGAATCCATTGTCAGATTGGACGAACTACCTATGGCCATCCAGGTGTTTGGCCAGCAGGAGGCCATACCATGTAGATTAAAATGCCCTTAGCTGTCTGGCAGCAAGCAATCATTTATGCATCCTTTTTAGGTTTGGGGAGGTGCCCTCTGCCATTTCCAGCAGGAACATATGTGATTCAGCCCTTGCTGAGCCCCCAAGTTCCAGCAACCTTTTAATGAAGCTCTTGCATTTATGACATGCTGGAATAGGCTTCTGGGGGGCCCCCTTATTGGTCACATGCCACCCTGCACAAGCACTGTCACCCAGAGTGCCGCGGGCTGGCCTGCGGGGAGAATGTGTGGCCGTGGTGGTCTTAGCCTGAGCAGGACACCCTCCCGCTGAGGCCTGATGCCCTGGCTGAGGGCGCGGGCGGGTGCACATGGAGTGGCCGCCCGGCCGTCCGTCCTCCCTCACAGCCTCTGCTCTGTCGCAGGCGTCCTGTGGCTGTCGGTGGTGTCCGAGGTGCTCTACATCCTCCTGCTGGTGGTCGGCTTCAGCCTCATGTGCCTCGAGCTCTTCCACTCCAGCAGCGTCATCGACGGGCTCAAGCTCAACGCCTTCGCGGCCGTCTTCACCGTGCTCTCAGGTAAGGCGCGGCCCTGTGCTCAGAGCGGGCGAAGCGGGCCCTGAGCCGTCCTCGGGCCCAGCCCTGGCTGTCCCACTGATGACCTTGGGCCAATCTCGCCTCTTCTCTGAGCGTCCGTGTGGCCACGGGTCAGCGGGGCTGTTGGCTCACTCTCCACTCACTCAGCACGTGTCCATCGAGGTCTGTCCTGTGCAGGCGCCGTGCAGTAAGCACTGGGTTATAGCAGCGGCCAGACACGGCCATCTCGGCCTCCTGGGAGAGGAGAGGAATTCAGGAGCTGATGTCCCAAGCTTGGCCATCTTGGGTGGGCTGGGGGGCGTCTGTGGCACGAGGGAGAGGAAAGTGGCTGTGAAGATGGGTGGCGCGGTGATGTTCGCAGGGATGTAAAGGGCCTGCTTGGCACGGCAGGCCCGAGTCTGCTTTGGCATTTCCCCTCTGAGACAGCGCATGGGCACCCCAGCAGGAAGCTGGTCAGCGAACTCACCCAGAAGCTCAGGGGCGAGTGTGGGGTGGGCAGAGATTGTGGCAAATGCCGCAAAGCTGAGGATTTCGAGGGTTTCAGGAAGAATGGGGGGTGGGGGCGGAGGACTCCACGCAAAAGCCATGGGTTAGGTGGCCGGTGCCCAGAGTTATTTCAGCCGCTCCAGGTCACAGGGGTGTAAGCAGGAGGCGCAGGAGGGGATGTGGGAGCCTGGGAGCTGTAACATCAGGCTCCTGGCGGAAAGTCAGCTGTGCCTGAGAAGAAATAGCCCACTGACTGGGAGAACATTTTCACCAGATATATTTGGTAAGGGGTTAATATCCAATGTTTATAAAGAATTTATACAACTCAACTCCAAACCCCCCCCCCCAAAAAAAAGAATCCAATTTAAAATGGGCATAGGACCTGAATAGACCCTTCTCCAAAGTGGACACACAGATGGCCAATATGAAAAAATGCTCAATGTCCCCAATCATCAGAGAAATGCAAATTAAAACCACAGTGAAGTATCACCTCACACCTGTCAGAATGGCTGCCACCAATAAATCAACAGACAACAAGTGTTGGAGAGGACGTGGAGAAAAGGGAACCCTCGTGCACTGCTGGTGGGAATGCAGACTGGCACGGCCCTGTGGCAAACAGTATGAAGTCTCCTCAAAACATTAAATATGGACCTTCCTTACGACCCAGTGATTCCACTTCTGGGAATATATCTGAAGAAACCTGAAACACTAATTTGAAGAATATATACACCTCTGTGTTCATTGCAGCATTATAGCCGAGATTTGGAAGCAGCCCAAGTGCCCATCAGTGGGTGAGTGGATAAAAAAGCTGTGGGACATTTACGCAGTAGAATCCTACACAGCCATAAAAAGGGAAGAAAATCTCACATTTTTGCCACAGCATGGATGGACCTGGAGAGTATTATGCTAAGCGAAATAACTCAGTCAGAGAAAGATAAGTGCCGTACAATTTCACTTATATGTGGAAGTTAATGAATAAAATAAATGAGCAAACAAGACAGAAACAGACTCATAGCTGCGGAGAATAGACTGACAGTGTTAGAGGGGCGGGGCTGGGTGGGAAAGGGGAAAGGATTAAGTAAAGAAAATAAAAAGGAAAGAAGAGTCTTCACCCCTCCCAAGAAACCCGGGTTCCGTCTAACGGGGAGTCCGGCTGCTGAGGAAAATGAGACGTCTCTGTAGTTTCGGGCAGACATCAAAGGCAGGGCAGGGAGGTTCATTGACGTGCCCAAGGCGCGCGGCTGGTCGCCTGTGGAGCTGGGATTACAGCTGACTGCTGGCTTCCAGCTCCTGGTCCTTCACAGGCTCGAGCTGCGGGAAGGGCCCGGGTGGGAGGGAGAAGAGTTATATCCTCAGGACACGGGCCCTGAGAAGCCTGCAGCAGCCAGAGGGTGTGATAGACCAAAGTGGCAGGGGGCAGCGAGAAAGAAGTGTGTACTGGCGCCTGGAGAAGATAAACCTGAAACAGGACAGGGAGCGGGAGCCACGCCTCTGACCGCTGGGCACAGGGCCTGGGGCGCTGGCCCTGCAGGAGCCCCTGGAGAACGGGGGGGGGGGGGGGGGGGGGGAGGAGGGGAGGGACTGGGAGGAGGTGGCTGGGCTTCGGGTTTGCTCCCAAGGGAGGGAAGGAGTGGGCGAGCCTTGGGTGGAGTCCGAGTGGGGACCAGCTCACATTGAGGGGTCCACAGCCTTTTGGGGTAGAGGAGAAAGCAGACCTGGGGCAGTCCCTACCTGAACCAATTACTGTAACTAACTAGAGGCCTGGTGCATGAATTCATGCACGGATGTGGTCCCACCGGCCCTGCACCCAATCAGGGGCGGGGCCAGCCCAGGGGAGGGGCCGAGGGGGGGTTGGCCAGCTGGCCCCAGCCCCTGATCAACTAACTCCCAGTCAAACTCCCAGTTGAGGGGACAATTTGCATATTAGCCTTTTATTATGTAGGATTATTATAATGAGCCCATTGATTATGATTAACCATAATAGCCATCATTGACGGAGGTGCCATTGTGCACACACTCTGGGCTACCTGCCTCATCTGTGCACACCCCTGTGAGGGAAGGAGCAACGGCCATTCTGCAGCTGTGAGTCCTTCAGTCACATAGTCAAGGGTCGTGCACGCCAGAGCAGCCATGTAAAAGGCTTTGCACAGGCTGCGGGGGCTGCTGCTGTGCGTGCTGTTGTCCTTCCCAGCTGTCCTGGAGCAGCTGAGGCCGGATCATGGTACAGGGGCCAGCCTGTCCCGTAAGCCTGGCCCAGGGGTCCGGAATCATCAGCCCGCACGGCTCCCTCCCCAATGCCATGCTCCGCAGAAGGCGGCGAGATGGTCGGCCCGTGGGGCCAGACCCCAGAGGCCACGGGACCTAGGGCCTGCCAGAGACGTGCATTTTGGCTGCTTTTAAAACCAGAAGGCCAGTAAGACAGAACAGTAATGAAGATTGGATTGTATTTGTCCTTATACCAGTGCCGTCAGCAAATGTAACCGTTAATACTCCTGCATGGAGGGGCGGGCGCATGAACGCCGTCCTGTGGCTGCACGGAGCCCGGCTTTCCCCTCAGGACTCAGGGCACCCCCAGCCCAGCGCACCCGCCTCCGTGCTGTGCCTTCCACAGAGAGGCGTCCCTTCCCCTGCAGACCAGGGTCTCACCCCGAGAGGGACTGTGAGGGCAGGCTGGAAGGTGTCTGTTCTCCCCCAGTTCCTCCAGAAAAGGAGGCTGATCTGCTTACGGGGGGGGGGGGGGGTGTGAGAGGGGTGAGGGAGTGGGGAAGAGAGGCAATTTGGAGAACTCCATGTGCTTGTCCAGGGAATGATTGGACCCCGTGGAGCAGTCAGCAGGTCCTTTTGTTAGGCAACAAGAAAAGGGGATTTTGTGGTCAAACAAAAACATGACCCAGGACAAGGGAGCTCTTTGGAATCCAGGAATCATGTAATCTCGGCATATTTGGTTTCATAATAAAACATATATTTAACGGCACAGCACATCACTGTTAGTCTTGAATTTAATTTCTTAAGCTTCAACCAAAATAGTTCAACGTTATTTTGCTATACGATATATGCCGTGTGTGATTTGAAATTTTTTGGTCATAATTTCCCTTTTAAAAATGCAAAATATCGATAGTCTAGTCCTGACCAGTATAGCTCAGTCCCATGCACCGGAAGGTTGCCAGGTTGATTCCCAGTCAGGGCACTGGCCTGGGCTGCAGGCTCAACCCCAGGTAGGGGGCCTGCGGGAGCTGATGGACGCTCCCCTGTCACACCCATGCTTCTCTCTCTATCCCTCTCCCTTTGTCTCTAAAAGTCAATACAGCCCTAGCTGGTTTGACTCAGTGGGTAGAGCATTGGCCTGGGAACTGATGGGTCCCGGGTTCGATTTCAGTCAAGGGCACATGCCTGGGTTGTGGGATTCCCCAGGAGGGAGCATGCAGGAGGCAGCCAATCAGTGATTCTCTCTAATCATTGATGTTTCTATCTCTCTCTCCTCCCTTCCTCTCTAAAATCAGTACAATATATATATTTTAAAAATTATTAAAAGTCAGTAAAAAATGTATTTTTAAAATGCAGAATAGTCTAAGCTTGAAAGGAAATTCAACTTAGTGTGACGGAAAGGTGACTGTTTTGCTGCCTTCATAACAAAAATTACAGGGCGGGGTAGTGGACATTTCAAATAGGAATTGGAGTTAGAATCGAGTGTCTTTCTTTGAGAGAGGTCTAATCTTAGGATTTTGGAATGACCTCAAGGGAATTCTCATTGAGAAGCATTAGAAGCACTTCAATAATGTGGGGGCCCCTTGTAGGGGGAGGTGTAAGTTGGAGAGCAAGTCTGTGAGGGAGCCACCACCATTGAGTTTTGGACAGAGGTTTGGGGACCTGCAGGCCCGGTGTCCGAGCATGCAGATCCCACTGAGCTGCACACATCAGTGGGGCCACCCAAGACCCCAGGAACCACGTTGCGAGGCGGGCGGAGTGCGGCTCCCCTGGGCCAGCCTCCGGCCCTGGAACCACGGAGCGTGTGCGTTTGCGGGAGGCGGGCTTGCAGAGCCACCTGCCTCGCCCGGTCGCACCGCTGCTGTGAGTGACTGTGAGCTGGGAACCGCTCGGTATGGCTTCTCACTGGCTGTCCTGGAAGCTTCCCCCAAGTCCCAGCTCCCTGTGGCCTCACATTCCTCCCCCGTCCACCCTTCACCGCACTCCTTGGCTTTTTCTTCGCACTCACTCTTGGTGTGGTGATTTGTAATTTCGTACTGTACACGGCCATCTAATATTCCACTGGCCACACATTTCCCTGGAAGAATCCCTGCCCAGAGCCCCCTCCTCCCAGTTCCCTTGCCCTGGCCAGACACAAAAGCAAGTACTTTTGTGTCTAAAAGTGCAGAGGATCTAAGCCAGAGGAATGAGCATCTCCACGTTAAAGATTTTATTTGATTGCAGGTGACAAGAACCCCGCCAAGCCAGCTGAAGAAGGGGGGATGGCGGGTCATGTGATTGAAAAGCACAGG